ATGTGAAAAGATGAGTATAGCCTAACTACTATTGCAATATCGTATAACATTCTCTGGATTTTCTATGGTGCGATAAATACGATAATTAATTACATTGATTGAATATTCACAATTATTAGGCAATTAATATTTATTAATAATAGACAGATTAGAAATCATTTACTGCATTTAACTTTAATGAAATTCAGTGTTTTCTCAATTAACGCGACATTGATGTGACAATGTAGTGAGAATGATGTGACAATAATGTGACAATGATGTGACACATAAGCTAACAAACAATATCCAACTGCATTCTGTGATAACAATTCGACATGACGTGAATGACGTGAAAATCGCGAATATATAAAATGTATCTAGAAGAGAACAAAAATTTCATTAATTTTAGTTTTAGTTTACAAAATACTATGTGCAAACTGAACAAGAGCACATACAATATTTCGATGTAACTCATTTCTTTGACAGTATCACTCATTTGCATATCCGTAAATACTCTTAGCTCTGCATTTGTGTGGTGGCGCGTGCGATATACAGATATACAGATATACGGATATATCTTTTGTGCTGTCACAGCACAGTAGAGCAGTGGATATTACAAAGAACATAAAAGCACAATATATACTTTTGGTGTTTTATGTGAATGCGTACACAAATGAGTTTATATTGTCGGTAGTCGGTCGTTTCAATTACTTGATATACAATCAAACCATCAGAATCATTATCACTGGCGTCATCAGCATTAACCGACACAGCAGCCAGGACCGATGTTGCGAAAACAGTGTTAATAATGTCAGCTGCGGGAACAGCTTTTAGAGTTGATATCATGCTATCATGGTTTCTGGTTACCAATTTCACTTTATTGAAATTTGTGGCTTTAATACTGCAAGTTCCTTTTTTCGAGTATTGAAAAATATCATCACTGCTTGGGACTTAATCGTACTGCATGCGAGTGAGCGAACGTATTGGAGTTGAGTTAGTGTTTATTGAATATTTCCTGTTAAATTAAAATGTAAAATTGGTGTAAAAGTAATTGAGTTAAGTGACATGAAAAACTTTTACCACCGGATAAAATTCCGATTCGATTTTAAGTCCCTTTTCAGCGAAGTACGGCTTTACTTAATAACAGGAACCATATGGTTATTTCTGTATGAAAAGCGAGTTGAAGTGTCAGAGCGCACAAAATTATCAACAAAATTAAAATAAATAATTCTTCCAATGCACTTGTTGCACTTTGTACTTTATTTTAATGAGAGTTTATGGAAAAACAATGTAAGCGATTAATTTTGGAAAGTGCATATTAAATGCCAATGTATACGACTTAGTATTACTTAAGGATCACAAGTAAAGTATTGATGTATTTCAATAATTAATTTTCATTTCAATATTGTTTAAATTGATTTCATTGCTCTGAATACCTGCATATAGGTATTACATAAAATATGGTCATAATATGTGCATTTAAGAAAACCATAAGCTCTTACTTCAATATCATATGAAATTATTTACTATCCTGAACACCTTGCAGAAATTAAGCAGATGTTTTTCATTAATTCACACAACATTATAGAGTAGTAACAATTATTTTCACAGATTAATTAACGTATTGATTAATAGTTGGAGTTGTCTCAAAAAAATAAGCCATTATAAAAGCTCCAACAGTGGTTCTTGACGTTATTCTCAACCCACTTGTTTACATTATATTCAACTCATATTTTGAACCTAACCTCAACACCATTTGTAAAAACTTTCATCAACCTGGTTAACTAAATACGGTTCTTAAAGCTTACCTCTATACGATTCTTGAAGCTATCATTAACTCAGTTATTGAAGCTTCTCTTAGTTCAGTTCTTTTTACAATTATCCTAAACACGATTCTTGAATCTATCCCTAACCCGGTTCTTGAAGCTATCGTTAACACTGTTCTATAACTAAACCATAGCTCTGTTCCTAAAACTATTCCCAATCTATTCAAACCTCTCGCTCACCACGGTTTTTGAAGCTTATTTCAACACAGTTCTTACAACTATCCTCTAAGCAGTTCTTAAAGGTTTTCCAAACTTGGTCCTAGAAGCAATCCTTAACTCGGATTTTAAAACTAAAGCCAAACCGGTTTTTGAGTTGAGCTGAATTCGGTTCTTTGCGCTATCTCAACTCGGTTTCTCAAGCTTGATTAACTAATTTACAGTTTTTTCTAGTATCTTGTATTCATGTAGTTACCTTCAACCCGTTTTTTGAAGCTATTTTTAATCTGATTTTAGAAGCTATCCACGACCCAGTTTATGAAACAATAAAAGTACTGCAATAGAAACTATTCTTAACACGATTCTTAAGCCTATATGATTGCTTTTTCTGCAGACACCTCTGATTCGATTTTTGAAGCTTCTTCAACTTAGTTCTTGAAGCTGTCCGATTGACCCCTTCATAGTTATCACTAAATCGAATCTTGCAGTTATTATGAACCCGTTTAGTAAAGTTATCATTAACTTGATTTTTTAAAACCATCCTTTTGACCCTTTTGCAGCCATCCGGTTCTTGAAGCTGTCTTTAACTCGGCCCTTCAGGTTATCCAATTGTCCTTTTTGTTGTACTTTTCTGTACTGCATTCTGTAATTTCTCTCAGGAAAGTTGTGAGGTATTTTATATTTTTTTTATATATCACCTATATTACTTTGTAATAACATTGGATATATTTTTTAATCGTTTAATGTTTTCAGTATCTGAAAATTAATATAAATACATTTACTGACCATGTTTTTAATACTTTTTGACTAACAATAATTTGAATAAGTGTTTTCAAAAATTTCTCTCCAAAACAGGATTTCGAAAACCCTTCAGTATCATGAAGTTCACTATTTTTAAAAGAAGTATTCACTTAAAGCTTTATATTTAAATATTAAATAGATTGTAAATAATTAGTTAAATGCTTTGTTAGCCCTTGAAAAATATACAGCATGGTTTAAAGTAAAAGAAAAAAGTATAAATATTTAGTCCTAGTTTACTTCATGTAAACAATTAACTTTCTAATAGAAAGTACAAGTATGCAAAACAACTGCAAACTAAAGTGCAAAATTCAAACTTTAATTGCTTTGGCAACAACTCATTCCTCCCCACTTTCACCCACTTTGAACCCACAAATAAAGACATATCTCAATTTGAAGCATCATTAAACTAGTACAATTTTCGAAATGCACTCATAAATTCATGAATGCAAACACAGGATCAACGTGGTTCGAAGAACTCATTTCGATGGGTCTACTTTCAGCAGTCAGCAGTCAGCAGTCGGCAGAGTGCATAAATTTGTCAGCTATTTTGTGAGAAGTGAAATTTATTTGAATACCTTAAGCAATTCATTGTTTTGCGGAGCAAGCGGAGCAGAAACCCCAAAAGCAAATATTTTACTCAGAAATGAATATTTTACTTAGTAGAGCAAAATGAAGGCAAAGTATGTGAAAGTGAGTTTAATTTTTTTCATGACATAAGCTCCGTTTACGTATATATTCCTATAGCATGTTGCCACTCCTGCACACTAAACAATCTATAAATTCGTATACAATATTTGAACAATTCAGCCACACTACCTTTCAAGCAAGCAACTTCAGTTTCAGTTTCAGATTCAGCCTCTTCTTCAGCTTCTGCTTCAGCTTCAGCACCAGGCTCAGCACAATAGGCACCCACAACATGAACAACATGAACAACAACTGCAACATTAACAAACCAGACAAATACCGCACTTTTGTAATAAATTTCGATTTATTGTTTGTAAAATGTATCTTTGAGATTTCTCGAGTACGCAACCTAACTGGCGGTTAGTTGGATCTCTGATTTGATATATGGACTGCCGCCGTATCTGTGCATCTGTGCATCTGTGCGACGATATATCCGCATACTGTAGTTTTTCTTAATTTGTTGTGGTCTATGACAAATGAATTCGGAAATAATATTTTTTTAGTAGGCGGCATTGTTGTTAGTCCACTTCACTTCTGTGTCTTGTAAAGAGGATGAAGTTTGTAGTCATTTAGGATGTTTGCAACTTTTAAGCGATTTTCTTATCGGTTTACGACTAAGTGCAAACAGATATTTAATTTTTATGACACGCTTTGTGCTTGGATTCCAGATGATGGCAAAAATTGCATTTTTTGAACAAAAAAGGATTAACTCATAAAGTTTTTTTTAGAGAAACTTATATCAGCAACGATTTATATAAAACACACTATATTGTGTTTTGATTTAATATAAATTATTTGTTTTTAGGTACGAATTATATTACTTTTAAAATTTAATTAAAAATGGGCAGCACCTGTGAAACCCTCTGATAGGCTCACAAAAAATGAGCTATATAGTAAACTCCAAGTATATAAGCAGTAAAACCTCTTTTCGCTAGAATGCGCCTTAGACTGACAACAATAATCATAAAAGTTAATTGTTTTATATATAGCTAAGGATAATGCGATAGCACAGCAAATGCTTTATACTTATTTTCGTTTAAAGGTTGTGGGAGTTTGGATAGACAGCCTTGCAAACTAAAGCACTTCAAGACCAATAATGCTAGTTATGATAATACAGATAAAAACGCTGTTTATACGCCAGACCAAGGTCATCAAAATAGACCAAAACGGATAGCATATAGACAATGTTGAAAATAACAGCCAATTAACCAACCAGACAAGTCAACTTGGTTAAGATTGATATTATTTACTTAATATTAATTAAATTTAATCAAAAGAAACTTAAAAAGATTCAATTAATTTGATAATAAAAAAAAATTTTTTTGTGTTGTAGTTCATTGCCTTTCGAGAAACATCTCTAGCAAATACAATAGTTACTACTAAGTAAAATAGTCACTACCGTCATAGCTGACGTTAAATGACAATTTAATATTAATTAAATATTAAAACAAGATAGGGTTATTTTACTATTAATTTTTTTCTTATTTTATATTTCGAAAATCAAAAAAAAAACTTATAATTTTATATCAAAACAAATAACAGCAAATTTTCGTCGTAAATACTAATGTCCGCATCTTAATATGGCAAAGGTTGTTATAATGTATGTGCACTTGGATATATTGATATATGATGAAAGTATCTGACATAAAGCAGAAAACTGATTAGTTTTTAGAAAAATTAGATTTCAAATTTTTCTCATATTGGAGACAGTTTATACGGACATTTACATATGGATAAATCTATTCATACATAAATGCCAAATTATGCGCTTTCGGCTTTCATCAAAAATGTCCTTATCTCAACATGGCAAAGATTGTTATTGCAGGTAAAACAATCTTTGTATCAAATCAAAAATGTGAAGAATTTTTCTTCTCAAAGTACTTAAAACCTGATTAAATGACGAATTGTGTGCAGGTGATGGAATTAAATTACTATGAGAGGGAGTTACTACTTCTTCGTTGTCCGGAACGGGTGGTATACGCTCTTCCGAACTCGATGGGTTCATGGGAATGGTATGCTGTGAACTGAAGCTTGCCTGTGAAAGCAAAGCGGGTGCGCTACTGCATCGTATGCGTTGTTCGTCTTCAGAAATGCTATCACTTAGATTTGGTAATGAAGTCGTTGATTCGATGGTAGCCATTGTTTCTTTTTAAAAAATAACTGTAAGGATCTGTAAGGCAAAAAACTATTATCATTTATCCACTTACTTTCTTTAGCATCTGTAACAGCTACTATATCAGCACCTTCATCAACTATATTGCACGCTATTTGTGCACTACTGCATTGTATACGCTTTTCGCCTTCAGGAATGCTATCATTTACATTTGGTAATAAAGTTCTGGATTCGATGGTAGCAACTGTTTTTTTTAAAGAAAATAACTATGCGGAACCTAAAAACTATTATAATTTTTCCACTTACTTTCCACTTTCACACCAAGACTTTCATCAACGGTATTGAGTCCCACTTCTTCCATTATGGAAGGAGCGCTACTACTTCGTTTTAGTATCGCTTCGTTTTCACAGCTACTGTTAATATTAGGTGAGGATTTGGAGAGGCGTGTAACTGAAGCTTTTTTTTATGAAATATATTGCTAGAATATATGTTATTAATTATTTTATAATAATTTTCTACTCACCACCATTTAAACGCTTGGAGTTGCAATGACGTGGATTTGAGATTGTTGTATTCAGTTCTTGAATAAAAAACACGTTCAATTGTGTAATTAATTCTTCTTCCGAAATAATTGTTTCCTCGGTCAGTAGATCAATGCGATCACGTGACATGTGATTTCTGCTTGCCGAACTTAATCTACTCTTGAACCTCCTATTATTTCGGAGTCGTTGTTTGACTGAACGTGTGATGGTCTTCAAATATGCTGCGAACTTAATTAGTTTCAGTTTTTCATACCCTCTCAAACGAAATATAATATTATTTATTGTACCGTTGATGAAATCTTGGGTCTAAATAAATATCTTATTAAGACACAATGCGATATTTTTTCAATTATTTTTCAAACTTACTTCCTTTCCGTTTACCCCATAGGAAAAATAGTCGTATAAGCGTTTTCTTAAGATATTAAGAATTCTAAATTCTTCCATTCTAAATTCAGTAAATGTAGAGTAAAATATAATCAGAAATCGGTTAAATACAATATATTTAAAATATATGAAAATATAATAAAGTATATGTATTTAAAGTATAAAAAATAATGACTCATTATTTGAAATAATCTCACAAGTATATATTGATGAACTATGTAGGAACTATCTGATATAAAGAAGAAAACTAATTAGTTTTGGAAATTCTAATATTACTCAGGAAAAATCACGTGCAATCGTCGTCTAAATATAGTCCAAATTTTTGTATTTACTTACATTTAAGTTGTAAGTTCCGAACTTCTTCAAAGTTATAGAGAGAAAAAGTCTGCGATTACAACGAGAATTTTTAAAATCTAGAAGCCGTTCTAAAAATGTGTTATAAAAAAGTTTTAAATTAGCTGAAACAGAACAATCTGTTTTACATTCTCAACGAAAAATAAATCCTTTATATGACATTCGATACTCGTTTTGTCACAAAAAAAAAAAACAATTTTCTACTAGATTGATTTATAAAAATATTTTTGAAAAATTTTTATCAGTCTGATTTTATCGGAGTACTTGATTTAAATAGATTTCATATACATAAACAACATGCGAGTATAAATTGAAATCTTTTCTATGGAGGAATAAAAATTATTATCTATATCTTATCTTCATTCAATTAACTAATAGATTTAGATGTGCTATCTAATAATAATTGCTAGTGGGATATCTAACGGATCACCATGGGCTATGTTACCACCTCAACAAAATGGGCCTATCGGAAGAGATGGATTGTAGACTCTGCTTGGAGGCAGAGGAGACAACCAGCCACATTCTATGTGACTGCCCAGCTTTGATCTGGGCCAGGAGGAGATCACTAGGTCGGGAATTGCTAGCACCTTCCGGACATTAGGAGGTCCTCAACAACCGACATTTTGACCTTCATCCGAAAGGCGAAATGTCTTTTGTTCAGTTAGGGTCTGTTGTAGCGCAAAAGATCAATCATGGTCGCGGTGCTCTGCGCAAATGGGAGCTAGTACCCTGTTCTTTCTTATCTTATCTAATAATAATAATAATAATAAATTATTGAAATTAGGACCATGTTATGCAGACAGTTATGGTCACGTCAAGTGTAAATTTCTTGTTATTTTTAAAAGATTTAGAATGAGAGAAATTTCGGTTAAAATCTGGACACGGTGATGTTGGTTCTTTTAAATCGAGATGTAAATATGCATATTTTTTTATGGATGCTCTAATTCTCCATGGTTTCATTAGTCTTTTCCCACTATGTGTGTACACTTGTATATATGTATATTTTTGGATAGAAATGCTTACAAAATTATTTAAAAAAATTGTATCCTCTTGTAATTGAATGAAGCATAAACTAATTATAACTAATATTTTAAGGAAAGTCACTCCCTGCAATATATTGTGTCTATTCATATAAATACAGACTTTGGTCTTTAATTACTTTACGGTCGCAAATTACATTACAAAATGTTATGTGGAGGCACAGGACATTGTGTTTGCGAAAAATCATTATCAACAGTCAAACTCAACAAGCGAAAAGCTGCCACAATTTCAATTAAGGATAATTAAGTGCATGTCAATAATTACATTTTAGCCATTAAAAAGTCATTTAAGTATTTTATTGCATTTAGCGATGTCAGTAAAAATTCATTTAATGTTTTTATAAGTGCGTGTAAACATATACTCTGCATTGTGTATATTTTAAAACAAGTTGCTATGAATTACATACTTCAATATACTCGTATATTTTTCACATATGTTTTATGTACTTTTATGCTAGCATGAAGTATAAGAGGATGCTGATACTGATACTGATGCTGATGATGATGCTGATGCTGACGCTTCTTCATATATAGTATATGTAGTCAATTGAGTATGAATGCATATATGTTAAGTTTCAAGACAATCTGAAAGCTTAAAGTACTGTCCGCCTTGTGCAATAGAGTAACTTTTGACTGAGTACAAACTAAAAGGCAGACTATTTTAATGCACATGAAATTTGTTTAAAATTTCTAACTAAAAATTAACATAAAAATTTAATGTTCATTAAAGTTTCTTCTTTCAGAAACAGAAACTTCATAAGCACATAATGGAAGCTTCATAGCCAAAATATAAGTGAATTTTTGACTCAAAGCATTATAGTCCAGTATGGGCCGCAACTTCCTTCTTTATACGCCTCCGAGCATCTTTTGTGTGCGCTACTCCAGTTTCATTTTTTCAATATAACTTTTGTCGTCCTTAGGTCTTAATAAGTTTGTTAATATCTACTTAAAATAGTAGTGTAGTACCTTTTCACTAAATTTTTCTGTATTGTATGTGTACAAAGATGATGAAGAATGAAAGAGTAAGCTTTATATGGTATTCCTTTACGCCATGCAATGAATCATGTAAATGGACATTGTTTTCGTGCTTATATCTACAGGATCGTCCAACACTTTTGTTGTAATTCAAATGACTTACTATTCCCATTTACGGGTATAGCAGTTGATGAGACATAGATACACCAATATTTAATATGATTGATTAGATTTTCACTAACAACAAAAGACAAAGTACGAGCAAGAGAAATTATTTGATTCTGTAGATGCTGCACTATAACTCAGAATTGCACTCACTAAAAACAAATGAAATATATATTTCATCAGAAAAATATACTGGGTTTCAAACTATACTTGTGTAAAATTATATGAAATAATATCACATGTGTTACTAATTATCATAATCAAATAGCACATTCGTAAGAGTATATCACCCAAGTAAACACAGACACTATTGAGTAAAAATGCTTTAGACACTAACTCGCGTTTTCAGAAGTTAGTTCTTCAAAACAAAGTTTGCCTACATCCTTAAGGGCTCCTCAATAAAAGGACTTCATTATGGGATATTTTAAGACCACTTAGATTGACTCAGACTGGTTAAATTAGGGAAAAAGCCGCAATCGCAAAAAAAACGCTCATATGTTATATTAGTACTTTCAGCTGTAAAATTAATCAAACTACCTCGAAGTAGCACTTCAGTACTTCCTCGAAGTACTGAGTTCAGTTCCAAAAACATATTAAAAACCCACTAGTTTTCAACACTCAGTTGAGTTTGGTGTCTCATCGATCACATTTGTTGAATTCTTTTTTTTTTGGACTGTCGCAGAACACTCAAAAGTATAATAGCAAAAACATTAATGCGAAAGGAACTGGGTAACAGATTGCATTCAAAACTATCTCAAAAAAACAGTACAATACTATTTACTCTTATGTTTTTATGTTAAGCCTTTACCGAGTTAGTGCATCTGGACACTTTTGCTCTATGATAGCTGGAGGGATTCTGCAGAGTCCCGCCAATTTCATTGACTAATTTGAGTATTCCTGATAATCTTCTTGATTATTCAATGATTGATCTAAGATCTGCGTACCGCCCCGTGCGGTAAGTGATTACTCTGAGATTAAATAGTGCTAAGTAGGACAGCCTGTCGGTTTTTGCATATAGCTTCAGCGCAAAAATTGTGGGGTGCGTTTTTCAATATTTTTAGTGTTTACTACTTTTTACACAGAAAGCAGTTATATTGTATTACACAATATACACAAACTGAACAAATGGGCTTTGGCTTTTCCACGGGTTGTTACTAATCAAAAAAGGAAGTTTAATTTTTCTGTAATTAAGTTCTTTAAATAAAAAATGCATACCTTTGAAACCTGATTTCTCTTAACACCTTAACATTTCATTAGGCAATATATCGAAATCAAATCTTTGGTATATCAAAGCAGAAGCCTTTTAAATTATTTGAAATCGAAAAAATATTATTTATATTTCAGCGTAGTTGTATCTTGAAGGCAATAATCGCTTACTGCTGTTGTCACTACTCGAAATACTATGTTTACCACTAGGAATACCTGCAAAATACTTATTTTGCATAAATCGTTAACAGATGTAGAACATCTTTATCTTCATGCACTTGAATATGCTCAATTAAGCAATTTAGAAGTGACTAACTTCACATAATAATGCTTGTATCTTCACACCTTTTCCTTGGATACTCGTTAACTTGTATCTGAAAAATTGCTTTTTGTTTCGGTAGAGAATGAGCATCAAAACCACTACTGCTTTAAGTTGAACGCTTCAAGTGCCTCAAAGCACATTTCAAGGTTTGAATTAAAATTCTACATTTAACACCAAATCGTCTGAAAATGTGCTTTGGGTTGATGTGCTCCCACTCCAATTCGTCTGTTTAACTGTGGCTGGGTGTAGTGCTGACGAAATGTTACAGATACTTTTTATGTACGAGTATCTTGTGTTTGTATGTTTTGAACTTTATAAATTTTAAGCAATTAATTAAAGCAAATAATTATTGCAAGTGTGTCTGAATAAATGTCTGTGGGTACTTGCATTTCATTTAATTTTTACCTTTCTTGTGTACTTTTGACAGTCTGCTCGTCTACTGGAAGATTTGCTGTGCTTTTGTGTGAAATCAGAAATATTTTTATTAAAGAGAGATGACTACAAAACACTTAGTCTGTTTAAGGGCAACAAAGATTTTTCTTCAAAAATTTGAATAAATGAGGTGGAAATTTATCTGTGTAAATTATCTAAATATATTTATATATCAACTAAATTGGTTTACTATATTGTTTTTTTTATTTTGTATAGTAAATAACTAGTGACCTAATGGAATTTATAATATTTAATATTTTTAGCTTTTGTTAGTGTATTTTGTAATAAAATTATATTTGGTAAAATGCACTAAACTACTTTGAATAAAAAACATGATGGATTGGTTATGATGTTTACAGCAGAATGGCTTCACTATTGTAAGCAATTATATATCAGCCATAATTTCTTATCAATAAGATAAAAGGAATTAATTTAGCCAAGTTTGTAGAATGATTGTCTATCTCCCCATCTATTTCGGTCTATTTATGCGACAGTGGTTACTTATAACACTAAGATTCAGATCAATATAGTTTTATATAGCCGCGTTACATGAGGTTAAAAGTGAATCACATACCATAATATTTCACGAGCACAATTTAGCTCATAAAATTGAAGACTGAAAAGGTGATATTATAGATTTGGTTGGTTTATATTAGTATCATCCATTCTAAATTACAACTCTCTGGCTAAAAAATTCAAATCAAAAAGATAAAGAATATAATGTGAGATAAATTTGTTTGTGAAAAAGAGGGGTTAAATTACCTATGGCCCGAAATGAATCTGTTTTAAGAAAATTACAAGCCAGGTTAAATAAAATATAAAATATTATTCCTGAACACCCCACGGATCCTTATCTTCCATGGGAAAAAAATAAAAAGGTCTTGTGCTGTGAATTTTTTAGCGTCATAAAAAGACCTTATAAAAAATAATTTTATCTAAATCTAAATAAATTTTATTTATACTAATACAAAATCCGAAAAATTCATAATCGACTAGTACTCGTATGTCCATAATATTCGCAGATACACTATACCTTCTGGTACACTATACAAACATCAATACTTTATATATTTGAATGAAGTTTTAATTACAGATTTGGAGTTTTCCAAATCCATTCTACCAATTTAAAAATTTAAGAAACTGAGAAAATTAAAAATTATTTGAATGTTCAGTTTTCGAGATATTGCAATTTAAAAGCAGATATAATAACTGTCGCGATTTAATGATATTTTGGAATCGGAAAGAAAAATGTTATGTTTAAAATAGCTGTCTTTAATAATATTTTGTTTACAAATAGATGTACCTCGACTTCGAAATTGTGCCGTAACGATGAAGAAATTATTTTGTATAATTTTCACATTGATTTTGAGATATCTCTAAAACGAATTATTGAAATTTTTCATAATGTATGGAATGGGATCCATTTGATCCAAAATGAGATCCATTTATAATAAAATTGTAGTACTAGGAAATACTTACCCACAAAATTTTTAATGATTAAAAAATGTTTATTGAACTTGACCAATATTTGTTTGACGAAGCTCCACTGAGGCTTGAAGAGTAAAATTTAATGACTCGGATTTTTCTATTCTTCTCATAAGAGGTATATATAAAAAAACTATCTTCCAAATCAAAGGTGATGAAATAAATTTTTGTTCAAATCGATTATAAGTCGAAAAAGTCGATTACACCATTACTATACTTCTCTATATGAATGATAAATAAATATAAATATATAGAATGACAGGTTTAACTGAATAAAAAAAAAATTTGATGATTTTTTCATGGACGTAAAGTTTTATAATAAAATTGAAGTTTCATCAAGAAGAAATTATCTGCTTTTTCTTTAACCGCACTCCTATTATTTTGGACACAGTGGAATTTCAAGAAATTTTTAATTCAATCTTGTTTTTACCACTCTTAGATATCATGCCTAGTTTAAATATTGACAGACTTTCAAAAGTATGATTCAGTTTATAATATACAAGTTACATATATGAGTACTTAACTAGAAAATCACAAAAAACTACTACATAATTTATTACACATTTATTTATTTATAGAATGTAAAATATTTTTACTGATAATTTCTACAAAACTCTTAATATAGCTGATATACCCATAAAAATACTTCTTAATTTTCTGATTTTTTCCGTCAAAATCTTATGACTTATGATGCAAAGAGAAGGATCTTTAAACCACGACAGAAAGCTATAAATATATTAAAAATAATTCTTTAAATTCGGTTTAGATTTGTCACACGTCTGCGTGTATATACTTTTTTCAGTAAATTGTAAAAAGTGCTACCGCAGCACTTTTAATTGCATTAAAAATTTTATTTTAGTTATTGAACATTATATTTATTATATATAATTCCCGACACAGGTTTCGTTTTAAATTATAACAGGAAATGGTTTATTAATAATGCTCGTTTTTACTAAATATAATATAAATTAATATTAAGTCAAATATTACTTTTTTGTGTGTTTTGTGAATCCTTGCAATGTTACCAAACAAATGAATTGCGTAAGCTTATGTATTAAATCGAATTCCAAAAATACTCGTTTGTCCACAATGTTCATAGATGTACCTTCTGATACACTATACAAACATCAAGAATTAATTTATTTTAATGAAATTTTAAATATACATTTAGACTTCTGTCAGAGTGACAGAGTGGAATACTGCTAATCCAGGTTCATCACCACAAAAATGAAGAAAATATGAATTCTGTCAACTTCCAATTGACAACGGAGTTTAGTTAAAATATAGTTTAGTTCTCGAGATACTGGGATTTAATTGGGAGTTTTTTACATAAAAACCACCAAAGACAAGTAAGCTATTTAAAAAAATTCAATGGATTAATTCGAATCGAAAATTTTAATTTTATAAAAATTTCGCATCTTAAGCTTAACATAATTTAATGAAAAATGTTTAATATATATATTCAAAAAAAAATTTTTAACTTAGGGCTTAATACTAGTACTCAGTCATGACTATTTCTATTATTAAAACTTTTTGTGAAATGTTTAATCAATTATCTTTAAAATGACTGGTTGGCATCACTATTCCAATATGTTAAATGCTTACTTTTGACATATGTTTTTTACGTGTTTGCACTAACACACTTACAGCTTGCGAAACACACAAACAGCGTGCGTAAACACCCTTATTCTTTAAAAATTTGAATTGAATGACAACTCTTGAATGTGAGCATGTTCAAGTTCGGTCGCTGGAATAAATTTAAGCAAGAGAGAGCGCAACTTAAATGACATTCAAAACTGATAGTCTGCATCGCCCTTTATATGAAGTATATATAATAATATTATTACTTGAAATATAATAATATTTGAGATATACCGTTGGAGATTGTTTTGTATTTTATTTTTAGTAAACTTTTAATATGTAGGAACCAGCCAACTGCTTAGTTAATGGCTTTTCAATAAAAATCTGTGTAATTGAATAGAAACGAATAGAAAATCAATTGAAATTCCTGAGGAGATTCCCAATGTTTTTGTGTTTTTCTAGAATCTTTAAATTTGAAGAGATTTCCGAGACTGTTAAAATGTAGTATTTGTGATATGTCGGATGTCTGCACCAAAAGCGGAGTTCAAATAAATAAACAAAGCACGCAAACTAGCAAACAAGCAAACAATGAAGAAAGGAAAGCCTTTTTGCTCGATTTTTATTATTTTCGATTTTGCACTCCGTTGGCAAGACTAACAGATAAAATCGTGTTTCATTCCCTGTGCCTTGGGAGCGCAAAACCCTATAATAACAACATGAAAGGAAAAAAGTTGAAAAATAAAATTGCATGACTGCACATAACAAACAGAAACATGCAAAAAAAACAAAAAAAAATAAATAAAAAATGAAAAATGAAAAAACGAATAAAACTGTATTTTTAACAATAAATAGCAACAAATAATAAAAATAGCTGATGGCAAATTGTACAGGTGACAAGTCTATTGATTTGTGGTTCAGATGTGTGTGCAAATTTTTTCAATTCCATCAAATGTTTTATGGTTTTGTGCACTTCTGCGTGAGAAATGCACTTAAACTGCAGAAATTTTGTGGTGCAATCGTTTCGTGATTTAATTTTATCGAAATAGCATTGGTCAATTCATTTTCCACCATCAAAACAAATTTATTGATTCTATAAATTGGATTTAACTTTAAATGTGCTTATTTGAAGCACTTTTTCTGTGGCAAATAAATATCTTTTACTAAAAACAATATTTATTAGTTTTTTATTGTTTTATTATTCATACCATATATAGGTATACATGAATAGTTAAATAACAATAGCATTACAATTTTATTTGACTAAATTATTTATTTCCTAAGTGACCTCCGTGTTGACGTCGCAGCACCGCGATAAAAACTGAACTGAATGCAGTTTTAATAAGGTCTACAGTCCACGGGTCTACATTCTATCGAAGGAACTAACAAAGGATGTTGAACTGAATGCACTATGTGCGCTCCTTAAGAACTCTTTTCAAACGAGTGATTCAAGTGCGAGTTCCTTAAGAAGTCGAGGAATTTCACGTGAGCGTGTGAACTTCTTGTATATTATGCTGCCACAGTTTCCTCCTCCTAGCGGTGGAGTTTGAACGACGGCGCAAGCTACTTGCGATACTCGCACAACTCCGTTGGACGTGTAAAGTCAGCTGACTTGCAAAGTCTGTTGGTGGTTTGGGAACCTTCTTCTCGTATACTTCTTCCTTCTCATGATTGGCTTAGGAGAAAGGCGATTGCTGCATGCTGAAGTTTTCATCGCTGCTGAGGTAAGCTGATTTTAACATGTCAGTTGTAACACTGCATCCTTAGCACCTCGCTGCACTATTTGAAAAAGTACTTCATAGGCTGTTCCAGTGAAATCTTTTCGCGATCAATGTGTATGAACACAAACTTAATGGTCTTTAAGTCATTGGGAACATATCTGGATGCTGCCCATGCCTGCCATCCTTGTTTGTCTTCAGCTGAGCCAATGTTTTACGTAGTGTTAAAGCGAAATCGGTTTCACCTGGTTTTTGGCGTTTTTATGACAGAATTGCAGTATAACAATTCGACAGAACTGGTTCCGAGATCTTCCTTTGGCGTACACCTCAACTCCAACAGTTGTAGAAATGCAAAGCCGTTTTTAACGTACTATGCCTACGTTCAACCTTTCCATTCGCTTGGAAATGTTACGCTGTCGTGTGAATGTGTTTGATGCCAAGTAATCTGTATAGTTCGCAAAAGATTGTTGACTCGAACTGACGTCCTTAATCCGAGGTGATAATGTGAGGTAGGCCATATTGCGCTATCCAACCTTCGATGAAGGCATATGTGTTTTTACAAAATTATAAGTGTCTGCCCAATCTAAGACTTCATGGGATATTTTCAGCGATTGATTAAATCAATTTTTCCATTTCACAACAAAACAAAAAACCACAAATTATCATTTGAAAATCATTCAATATTAAATAAGGGTCAATAAAATTTTTACCAGATTTTAACAACAAATCAAAATGAAATTTTTAAGATTTGCAATTCAAGACTTCAAAATTGAAACAATGTCATTCTCTATGTAAAAATGTTATTTTTGTTGACAGAGGAGGCAATAAACAACCATACAAAATGCATTGTATTGTCTAGAAAAGAAACACAAAATAGAGAAAAACTTCAAGTAATTTTGTATGTGGACACTTTCAGTCCAAAGTCGGTTGCATGGCTTTGCATATGAGAGGGGATGAGTATGTGAGCCAATGTAAATGCATATAAGGAAGGTTAAATTGTAATGCAGCGAGCACCGCAACAAATACCCAAAATATCTTTTAACATAAAATGTAGTCATGCCAAGAGCCAGGACACACACTCGTGCAATACTCAACGATGGCTTTGTGTATTTATTCAGGAATTCTGTGTCTGCAACTGAAGATTTTGTGTAATAGTTTTGTGTAGTGGCAGGTATGTGAAATGACATTTTCATTATAAGCATCAATTGTTTGCTGCAGCAAATTGAAAATGCAACTCATAACATGCAATTTTGGTGTTTACTTTATTCCTGGTCATGGCTCATAAAATCTTTTATAAGATGTTTCTCTGAGATTTAAAACAATTTTCCAAATTTCTTAAGCTCAGTCAGTTGGCAATTGAGGGCAGTAATGTTGTGCAGTGTATCGATGTAAGTACTGGAGTCAGATGAGGAACGGTGTGCATATCTCCTTTTTATATTATTTAATATAAAATAAAATGTATAGAATTGAGATTTTGCATAATCAATGCAAGTAGTCATTCATTTGGTACATGGAAAATTCCTGTACTGCAGTCGCATTTGAAAGAAATTTAAAAGAAATTATTTATCAAAGATTTTGAATAATATTTGGAGAATATTTTTCTTTTTTGGCAGAAACAATTTGTGGAATGATATTTTGAAATATAAAAAAGATGTTTTGTATGAACAACTAAGAAATTAATAAATTTTTAAGGTATATCTATTCAAGCTTATTTAGGATAATATTCACCTAAATATACTCTCAAATCAACAAAGGCATAACTTAATTAGAAAAATAACAAGGTTTAAAATAATTTTATACGTAAATTAACTTATCCATAAAATGTTTTTTAAAATATTTTAGATCAATAGTAATCAATAAACTTTTGAATATATTCTGCCACATCATTATACTATATGTTTACTGTACACTGTAGTAC